GGGTTTTCGGACAACCCTCATATGGTGGCAAATAAAAATAGGAATGGTGCTGCCTTTGGGAGGCCGGGCATAAGGTGAACCTAGCTTGCCCGGCCTCATAGAATGACAAGGCGGGCAAGGGTATACCATACTCTTCCTCTGCCTCTCCAGAAGCAGGGGCAAGCCTGCCTTGTGGCGTCCCTGTTGACAGCAACACGGCTTTTCCCCGAGCTTCAGCTACTGCTGCTGCTTCTTCTACTACTTTCTATAGCCCCTGCTACTACCATCTGCTCCTCCTCCTTTCTACTCCTCCTTCTACTTCTGCTGCATCTGCTGGTGCTATTACTACCAGGAACTTGTCACTGCCTGAACCTCAGGTTCGAATGGACGAGAGGTTTCTTGCCACCCGCACCGCTTCCCAGCTTTGTTCGGACCTAGCACCCTGAAAGAGAACAATTCTATGTTTGAAGGTCTGCTCGCCAAGGCCATGATCATCCAAAAAGGTCCTGCCTTAATCAGTGATGCCCTTGGCCACTCATTCAGACACCAAACAAGGCGTCCAACAGCAAGGTGTCCAGCTCAGACCCTTTCAATTCCAAACCAGGCTCAATTTCAAATCAAGTTTGTAACAACTCGTGATTCAAGCTCTTCAACTCAACATCCAAAACAACAATGCTTTCTTTTGAACAATTATGTTGCAGCAGAGGTAGAGGTCTGTAGCAGGCAGCAAGTTCCCAAGGAGCCTGCGGTCAGAAGGATGATAGCCTGCCCCGTGGAGCGCAGCATTCGGTCCTGCAGCCATGCACTTCACGGACGCAATGCGATAAAACTTCAGAGGCATGATTAGCCGCCGCCATAGTGGTAGTGGTAGTGGTAGCAGCACCAGCAGCAGCGGCAATAACAACAAATGTAAGCATTGACAGTTTGATACTCAGACTGCTGATCTCGGGAGTGATGAGGCATGTGACAGCGGGAAAAGCACAAAGCCCCGTCCAGGTAGTGCCGGTCGAAATGGTCGAGGACCATATTAAGACATTCAAAGATGTTGCCTAGCCGGCAGAAGCCCTCTCGTGGGGCGATTGCTGCGTTGCCATAGATCCTGATGCACCTATAGTAGGACTTGAATTTTGGAAGTTATAGTCCTTTGACTAGGACACCAAACATACATATATATATATATGATTTATATTATGTATATACACTTCCTGAGGAAGCCTCTACGTTCACTTTAACCTGTCATAAAACCCTATCTGACATGCCGTGGAGTACAGCCTTCAGATGCCTCCGTCATAGATCTTGCAGACACGCCACCTGAGGTTGCTTGAACTGGACAGGACGTGAGATGGAACTTACTTTAGGTAGACAACCTTCCTGGCTGCATGAACCTGCCTTCAGTCCTTGACCGAAGCCACGCGCAGGAACGACAACAATAGCTTTTGGGGTATATGGGGCCGTGTCCCGCACTCTGGCTTCTGTGCAGTCAATCATTGGAATTGCACTGCCAGCTGCCGTGAAATTCTTAGACCGCTTAACTCAGCTACGGGGCTCCAGTCACCTCCACCTGTCTCACAGCACAACACAGCTTCAGATGTAGTTTTTCCTTCAGCAGTGTCTGCAGTTGCCTTGCGCTTGGCAGGTGTTCTTGATGCCATGAAACTCCTCCACGAAACACTAGACTGACTCTAGTGACTAGACTTGAGATACTATGCAAACTGTCAAGCTGGAGTCCTCGTGCATCGACATGCAGACTTGACGGACCCTGGCGGTACGCTAATGGCGAAATGACATTCACGGCAGCGAATCTTCATGTCTGTGTTCTCCAAACCGTAAACTACGGTTGAAGCAAGTCAATACGCGACTATCCGGCCTTGCCGCAAGTTCGCTCGCTGTTGGCAGTACACGCGCCCAGCCCTCCCAGAACACATCGTAGAAATCCTTAGCACGCGCCACTGACATGGGCCATCATGGATATCACATCTGGAAAGATGGGCCAGCATATCAAGCGAATGATCCCGCAGAGAATCTCAAGGACCAATCTGACAGATCTCAAGGCGATCTCCCCCGATGCAGTGCAGTCTGCCGGTCTCTTCGCAGATACTGAGTGTCACTGCCATGCTAGACGGTGCTTCCGTTTCAATGCAAGCCGGACTATGATCAAGCTTGGCTGAGGCAGAAACCACAGGTTCTGGCTTGCTCTTGGGCTTGGCCTCAACTGGTGACGAAACAAGTCCGCTTGGGCTCTCAAATACATGTATTGTCTGAGACCATCCATTGGTGAGTCCAGCATCATGGAAATGCTCACCGCACCACCCTCTGCCAACATCACGCTGTGCATGAGCATGCAACCCTGTAAACTATGTGTCTACTGACAAATTTGATGCTGCGAAACTGAGATTAGCACGTACCTGTCATGATCCACAAGCAGCCCCTCGCCAACTGCAGCCTGCAAGTAAAGCACATCTCAGGAATTGTGCTTGCAGCCGGCAAGGTACAAATCTGATGCGGGCCATGGTTGCATCTAGGAGATACTCTCAGGAACGCTGTGCAGTCCATCCTGCTGTCATGCTGTGTCATTTTGAGGACTTTTGATCGGCTTGCACTCTGACGTTTCTGTAGGAGACAACACGCCCAATAACAAACAAATGCTTTCTGAAGGCCATCGCGCCCGCGGGCCGCTGCAAAACGTAGAAGTCAAGAAACAAACATACCCGAAAACACTTCTGCCTAAGAGGTTGAAACTTCATCTTCCCGGGCCAAACTCTGGAGATTTGAAGAAAACGCTTTCTGCTCCCTTACTGAGCTCAAAGTATTACCTTCACAATCTGCTGACATGTAGAGCGTGCTCCGTCTTCACAAGGCAGAAGTTGAAAAGCGAAGAGAAAGCCTCGGGATCTGACTTGACGATTCCTGCGTGTCACAAGCAATTTGCGCCATCACAATATTCTTCCAGTTTTGCTTGTGGACTGATGAGGTACCATGCAGATGGCTCCTTTGGACCGTGTGAAGAGTATCATGCGCAAATAGTGCCTCGGCTGCATTGCGTTGGCATGCGTTGGCTGTTGTGGAGTAAACTCTAGATGCCCCTTGAACACTGTCAAGCCTGTCATGCAGGCACGGCACCCGCTTCCTCTTGTCACTCGCAAGGACTTCTCTACCAACTGCGCGAAGCACTCCACCAAGGCCTGCCGCGACATCTGAAGGGCTGAAGTTGGCATTAACGGCTTCTGCCAAAGATAACCGACCAGTGTGCATGACGGGCATGCTCAAAGTGCATTACATGACGCTGAACATGTGTCGAACTGTCTTGGAAGCTTTCTCCCCGTTCAAAGTTACTTGCTCCAGAGCCTCCCACAACGGTCTGCCCGCCGTGCCTCTCAGTCTGTCCGATCTGCTTTTGCCATTGGTTGCGGGTGATGATTCTTCGTGCCAAGGGGCTGTACTCCCAGAGTTCCGAGCTGATCTGCACCAGTACGAACATGTTGGCAGTCACCGACTTGAAGGAAACCTGCCCATCCGGGCTGCACACAACACTGCCCAAGTGCGCAATGCGCTTGCGCAGCCAGCCTGTGTCGTTCGGTCGACGAATCCTGAGATGGTCGGCGTGCCATCTTTGAACACGAGTCTGTCGAACTGGCTGTTGGCCACGAGCTGTCTGAGCCTGAAGGAGCACACAGTGACCATCACTGACAGAATGGACCACGTGCAACCGAGCATCGAATGGTTGAAGTTGGCATACAAGACTTGGCCACCGCCCTGGAGCACACCGACACCCCTCTACAAGGCCAGCCCATCTGTGCCGCAGCGCCCACGTTTGGAGATTCACCAGGAAGGACGGACAAAGTGACAAGAAGGCACAACATGCGGAAGTCCTGCAGCATGCGCAGATGCAAGTGCCAAATGTCGCGCTTTGAAAGGTAGCGGTCGAAAACCTGGATCACCACCTCTCCCAGGCGCGCCTGTCATGCTGGGCACGCTCACGCAGCTTGAAGGTTGCTGAGATGTTGCACCTCTTCTTTGGGCACTTCCTGGATCTCCACCTACGCAGTGCTTTGACATGCTACGACAAATTACAACCCATGTTTTGCCCACAAGCGCTGCAGCATGAACACAACAATCTGGCCTGCTTGTCAGAAAGCTTCGCCTGGCTACATTGATTCATCAGTGATCAGCAATCACTGCTTCTTGAAGGCCCGCGGATCCGTACTGCAAGGGGCAGTAAATGCCTTGCAGTATTGAAGAAGTGCCAGCAGCAAGAGATATGCAAGGAGGCACCACGGTTGCATCCGGCGAGGATAAACCCCATCACAAAGTACATGAACAGACTTTCAAAGCAGCGCCTGTTGGGCGATCTCATCTAGAAGGCTGACGCCTTCCAGATCCCTAGCAAAGACCTGCAAATCAACAGTCTCAGCTGCAGGCAGGGATGCGTTTGGTAGTTGATCAAAACTCCTGTTCCCAAAATGGCTAACATGGAAAATGATTTGCCCAAAGCACGTTGGCACTTTGGATCAGTTTGCATTTCCCCTGTGCCGCCTTGCACTGGGCGCGCACGAAGAGCCGCAGCTGCGGCTGACTCTTGCTTACGATGCGGAGCAATCTCAGCACCAGTACAACATGCAAGGGGTCCTTAGGGGTGCGAGGATATCTTACGGCTGTGATATGTAGGGTGAGTAGTAATGGAGAATCAAGTGGAAAA